GAACCCCTGACACAGAGTGCTGCCCTTACCTTGACATACCCTCGGACCCTGTGCCTGCCCAACAACTTTGTTCAGGTAGGAAAGAAAAATTCCCCAAGGTGTTAAACGGTGATGACTCTATCATAGAGACATTCACAAAATCCCCATCAAAACAAAGGAACTGATAGGTAACAACTGTCATGTTAAGTAGTGTGAGTGACTGCACCATTAATCACACCACAGCACTGCCCCTCCAGTAATCTCACCCACATGCAGTTGTCCTCACAGGATTGCATTGCAAGTAGCTGGGCCCCATCTTCTAACCCACCTATTGGGGACCCCATGGAAGGAATTGTCCAGGGAGTCCTGGAGCGTGTCCCCTGTTACATCTACAACATTTGTACATCTTAGGACAAAAAGGTACTCAGTAAGTGTGCAATCCACGTACCCAGCTCTCAGTCCAGAGCTTTTTCCACCACCCCACAGAGCCTCCTCTGGCGTAAGGAGATGGGCATGACCCTCAGGAGACAGAAGAACACAGGTATCCCCCATATGGCATGTCCTAGCACAACAAATTCTGGGCACCCAAGACCAAAGAATATGGGTGATTGTGTGATAATCCATGGATAGCTCCTGCTCATACTGTGAAAGTCAATAGTCTCGTACTTTGTATAATCTTTCTCTCAGGACTATCTGAAAATACTTTTGCATTTTCAAGATGGACTCCAGTCTGCCTTTTATTTTCAGTCGTGTGCTGAAATAAGGAGTGTAGAAGCAGTAGGAAATAAGTTCTCTCCTTGCAAATAGATTCCTATGACACTACTAAAAAATCTGCATAGCAAGCTTCATGCTAATAGCTTTCAGTTATGCCTGCCTAATGACGCCCAAGCTCTTGCAAATTCATTATGAGTCCTCTTTGCTTCCCTTTTATTACCATGCTGTCCTTTAAAAAAAAAAATAGTAGTGCTTGAATTCAACATGTAACTTGACAGATAACTTAAAAAGACCACTCATAAAAAGTTCTCTCTCAAAGAGGTCAAGATTGTTCCCTTTATTGTTTATAATAGCTTTCATGTCCTCTGAATTTCAAATTATTTCCTTAAAATATATGGATGAGCTGCATTCTGGTATGCTCAGATAAATTATTATCACATTAAGGGTACTGGTACTTAGTAGCAATTTAATCTAGGCTGGTTGTTGTGTGTTTCTCAACTATATTTTACCCAGTATTAAAAATGGTTCTTTCATGGAATAAGAAGATAGTACATATGTGGATACTTAAATAGTATATAGTGGAGGAATAATTCAGAATGAGCATCTTCATATTGGCTAAAAGCAGGTTGAATATTTTACTTTTTTCTTTTATGGTTTTAAGACCATTTATTCAACTTATGTTCTATTTTTCACCATTGGTAAACATCTCAGTGGCTTCATCCAGACTCCCCCAAGCCTGTGTATACTGCAGAAAAGATGCACCCCAGTCCTGCCTGCAGAACTCACTCACACCCTACTCTTTTGATACCTGCATGTGTCTTGCAGTGTCTCAACCCATTGTCCTTTAATCTTCCTCTGTTTTAAATGCTTTCAAAATTCATACTTTCTATGTGCTTTGAGGCATATGAGGTGGAAATTAAAAAGCAATAATCCATTACCAGAAGAAAAGGATTTCGTTCAATGTAGCCCTGCAAATAATGACAGCAGCCCCTCTTTATCTCTTCCAATGTGAGCAGGGCTTCATTGTGAAATGCAGGTGCATAGTCCTGAAGTCTCTGTCTCTGGTCGCTACAGAAAGGTAGTCTATTAACTAAAGTCCAAGAATGGAGCTCATTTCTTCTATTAACCATTTATTAAGTCAACAACTAAGTAATGATAGTGTTTTTCTTTCTAACATGCAGCAGTTTTACGCATTTAGCAGCATTATTCCCAGAACAGATGTGTCTTTTCAAAGTCATCTTCCTTTCCCATATACATAGGATTTCTTCTTAATTGTAAGCTTGTAAGCGCAACTGCTTCAAAAGGTGTTTCTGAACCCACCATACTGAGATTGCTTGGTACTGACAGCCAAGTGACATGAAAATCACAATATCATCAAGAATGTGAGCAGCCAGCTCCCCACATCAAGCACCCAATTAGCTTGCATTCTTTGGCTAAATATATTCCACAGCCAACGCAGTCATCTTCAGTGCTTTGATTTCCAAAGTCTTAGAAATACCTGGGAGTTATTTGAATGTGGCCGTATTAGAACTACAAAAGATAAGCAGGAAGCATTCTCAGTCAGTCAGCAAACTAGAATTAGACAGCAAAGACACTGAAGGTTATAGCAAATTCCCTCCACATTAGTGTTTTGAATAACTAAGGATCTTAACCAGATTTTCTTCACAACACTTCCCTTTTTCAATAAAAAGGAGTATTCACCAAAAAATGAGTATCTAAAGCACATTGGGCAACTACTGTTACTTTTATGATTTCCTCAGGACTGAGTGTTAACAAGGAAAACCTTGCTGCTTAGAATTTTGAGTGGCACAGTAGAAGCTCGCAAGCAAATTGGTCTCACTCTTTTATATTCTCACAAGAAGCAAAATAAGTCACCTTCAAAATATGGCTTATGTTCTTTCCCTGGAGTAGAGTTACTGTTGGATCAAGTGACTGAAAAATCTAGAAGAGGAAACAAAATGATTGCTCAGCAGGAAAAGTGTGGGGCTGCTGTCCTAGCCTGCCACTCGCTACAGCAAGGTCATGGAAATTCAGGGTGAGCCCAAGTGGTCCTTCAGCAGCAGACACCAACAGCCATGATCCTGGCACAAGCCAGTGTTTGTCTGACAGCTGCATGTGCTTCAACCCAAGCTGAAGTCAGTAAGTGATCTGCCCAATCTGCTCTGCAGAGGAAGGCTCGCCCTGCAATTTCCCCGAGTCATGAGGTCGAGTAAGAATTCCAGTGATGTCTTTAAATAGTCTTGGCCCCAACAAGTTCACGTGGATGAGGCTATCTATCGGAGTGTGCCCGTGTATACCTGGCAGGGATATGCAGTGCCTGGTTGCTGCTGCAGTAGGAATATAGAGGGGGCTTCTTCATCTGCCTTCCCATGACACTGGTAAGATCTGCTTGCAATGGTTCAACAACAGAACGCATGCACCAATGTGTTAATGGAACTCTGGTATCTGATGAAGAGCAGGAATTGTCTCCCCTCTTTTACTGATCGAAAAATTGACTTTGGGGTCTATTGCTGGGAAAATCACTTGTCCTATGAATAGGTTATATGCACCTCCTTTAAGCAGTTCTTAGGAAAAGCAAGGCAGCAGCTCCACATTGCCAAAACTCATAACCTAAGCAGGACCCACCAATGCCCCAGTCCTTTGCTACCCTTTATCCAAATTGGGTAGCAGGGAAGGGAAGAGGAGGAATTAGAGTTAGATGGCTGCGGTGGACAGAGGGTTTGACCGATTCATCCCAACTGTGTTTTTTGGTTACTCTTCTTTGGTTACTGACACTTTGAGGTTCAATCTAGTCTCCATAGCATAGCGTCTTGTCCTGGCTTCAGCCCATTGTTTACATTTCTCTTTATTAGGGATCACAACTAACCCCACTTTGTAGAAACCCATGTAGGTCTGTCTCTTTCATCAAGCTGTGAGCTCCATGGTACAAGCACAGGATGTTATTCCTCTCAGTTCTCAGCACAGTGTTCAGCCTATAGAAGGTGCTAGTAAATGTGAGTTTAAGTGATTGAATTTAGGATAATAAGATTGACAAGTTTTAACAGCAACCCCAAAACCTATTCCCTGATATTATTTTTATGTTCTGGGGACAAGTGTGCCAAAGATGCTGGAAAGTTGGCTCTCCATTGATCTGAAAGTTTCTTCACTGCCACCTTCCATTCTAATTCTTTGGCTCTAAATAAATAGTAATGACTTAGGGGCTCCTGGCTGCTGTGACAGCTGTAAGATCCAATGGCCCTTGAGGCAGGGACTCTAATTGCTCATCCTGATGTCTGTGTTTAACTAACAGCTGTGTACTCTTAAAATCAAAACCAAAATGAACTTAATATTACAGAGTCTTTTGTCCAAAGGGCTGTAAAATGTCACTAAACTCATTTTTTTAAATGTCCATATGTGAAAACCAAATGGCAAATATTACCCTCCTCTGAATGTTAAAAGGGTAATAACTTTTGGGGTATGACATGCCTTACCTTCTCTTTCTTTCCCTTTGGCCATTTCCCCCAAATATTAACTTATCTTTGAAAGGGCAAATCTAGAAGATAAGTGAAATTAGAATGGATAACTAAACCACTGGCTGGCATCTCTAGAAAAGCTCAGGGGGTGAAAAGAGGATTGGGATAGAAGGTGGAAGCTGTACATTACAGCCGGTTGGTGTTTATTATCTGAATACCATCACACCATCACGCCATCCCCATCACTCGCAACTAGATGTAAACACCCACAGCTTGATTGTTACTCTACAGTCATTTTGGAGCTAGCTTTCCTACAAATGCTTCCCCCAGAACTGAAAGCTCTGTCTGATTTGGTCATGACCAGCAGAGCAGGACTCTAACTCACTCTTTGGTCCTAAAGTAATGCTCCATCACTGCTGACGGAGGAGCAGGTCTTGCTGTTGCTACCTGGTTGCAGGTTGCCAATCCAGAGGTTGAAACCAGCTGATGTCAACACCTGTATTGTCCTTGGCACACAGCACATGCTCAGCAAATATTTGACTTTTGAATTTATATTGTATCAGACCTGCTACCCAACAATCCAAGGGCAGAATGTCACTGTTCCTCATAAGAATCACAGCAACTATTTCTCTTTGTAGAAAACCAAAGACCTGTTGCAATTTATGTTTAGAATGAGATGAACATAACATTACAGGAGTAACTAGGAACATAGAGAGTTAAAAGCTAGTGCCTCCCTAGGGCAAGTGCTCAACAATAACATAACATTAATACAAGAATTGACCACCATGAACAGTAAGATAAGAATGATTAGACGAGAAAAATACCCAGTGACTAGGTCTCAATGAGCTGGCTTTGTCAGTTGTGTTTCTTGTCCTTCAGGTAGCTGAAGAGCATCTCCAGGCCCCCCTCCACCAGCTCTGGCAGAGGCTTGGATAAAGGATTGTAGGAGATGTGGAGCCCTTTGTCCATGGGATTCCAGGCAATCCTCTCCAGTCTGCACAGCAGGTAGAGTTCTTCCGGGAGATTCTGGATGTCATTGTTGTTTAAGTTCAGCAGCTCCAGACTCGTGAGCAGGCAGAGAGAGCGGGGGAAGGAGTGGATATTGTTGTTCTCTGCAATAAAGATCTGCAAGCTGCTTAGGCACTGGATGCTCTCCGCAATGTTTTCCAGGCGATTGGAGCCCACGTGCAAGAAATCCAGCTCCTTCAGTGAAAACACACAGATGGGGATGTGAACAAAATAGTTGTTGCTAAGGTTCAGTTTCCGCAGCCTGGAGAGGTCAGCGAAGCTGGCGGGAAGCTGGGACAGACAGTTGTGGGACAGGCTCAGGACCTCCAGGTTTCTGCAGGAGCTCAGTTCAGCTGGCACTTCTGTCAGGCAATTCATGTTCAGGAACAGCACCTTCAGGCTTTTGAGGAGGCCGAGTTCCCGGGGCAGGCTCTTCAGGCCATTCCCGCATAAATTCAGCACTACCAGTCGAGTCAGTTTCCCCACCTCGGGAGGGAGAACCCTGAGCTGGTTGTGGGAAAGGTTGAGTTTCTGCACCTCGGACAAGCCCCACAGAAAGTCAGGGATGTCTGTCATGCCCTTGGTGACCAGGTTGAAGCTGACGTGCCGCATGCCCCGCTTCAGCAGGGACCGGGGGTCCTTTCCCGAGAGCAGGGTGTCATCCCACGGGGAGAACTTCTGCCTCCCTCGCAGGAGGCCCATCCGCTTGGCGCTCTTGTCCTTGGAGGGGGCACTTGACTGCCTGGCCCCCATTTACCTCCTTTCCACCCACTTTCCTCTGTCGCCCGAAGATGGGTTGTGTCCTACCCTGGCTGCTAAAAAACCAGGTGTCTCAGGCAGGGAGCGTATGCGTGGAGGTGAGAAAGGAACTATGGCCAGGGGGTCCCCGCGTGGAAGCTGCTCATGAGGAGCCCTTGCAGGTGTCCGAGATGCCGGCTGCAGCCGCGGGAGAGCTCAGCCTATCCCAAAGAGTATGTTTGGTGGTTTCTCTCTGAGCGGCCGGGTTGTAATGATATACTTGTCCCTGAGGCTGCAGAACTGAACCACCCGATTCCCTCTGAAGCCGCAAGGCAGCTGTCACTGTCATTCTGCCCGAGTTTTATTGGCCTGGTGTGTGTGCAAACAGGTCAGAGGGAGGGTGCATCTAACTCTCCCCTCGCAGCTTTTCTTGGGCGTCACAGCTGAGCAGAGTGATTAACAAGCCCATCTCCCCAAAGAAGCAAAGTGGAAAAATAAAGCCGGTGGCAAAGGCCCTGTCTGTCTGCTGGTTCGCTGGAGCTCATCTGGACTCGAAAGAGAGACTGAGCTAAATGCTAGTGACAGTGATGTTTCCAAAGCTCAGGGTCCTCAGATGCTATATCACATGCGCCAGTTTCAAACTTTTGTGACTTGTATAGTAGTGAAAAAATAACATAAGGAGTCTGGACACCTGGCATCCTCCAGGCCAGAGGTTTTGTTTGACACAGTGTTAGTCAGAGGTGATTTAGTGAAGAATGAAGGGGGTCTGGATCCACATTCCCACTTCAACCTGAGAAACTTACAGTGGGCTTCTGAGTTTCCTGAGGTGCATATTAAATGTTTGAACAGTCACTTGAGTGGTTGTGTCAGTTAGGTCAGCCCTGGGTTCCCCTGTCCTGGAAGAATTGTATAGAGAGGTCACCCTGGCTATACTTCTGTCTCTTCCTGTCTAATCTCATCTCATTAAAAACATTAACTCAAACCCTAAGTATGTAGAGTTCATTGCTAGTGTTTTGGGCTGAATTGTGTCCACCCAAATTCCAAATGTTGAAGCCCAAGCCCCGGGTACCTCAGCATGCAATTGTATTTGGCGACTGGACCACATGAGGTGGGTAGGACATAGGAGAAGCCAGACACTGCCGGTCACACGGAGAGACCTCAGAAGCAACCAGTCCTGCCAAAACCTTGATCTCAGACCTGTAGCCCCAGAATTGTGAGAAAACACATTTCTGTTGTTTAAGTCACCCAGTCTCCAGTGCTTGGTTATGGCAGCCAGGTAAATGGATACAATTGGGGAAGAAGCAGGCATATTTGAGTAGGTGAAAAATCCTAAAAATAGGTAATGATTAAGGGGAAGGGACTGGTTGATTGGATGATGATCCAAGTTCTGAGAAAAGGGTTTGTGGGATTTGTTCCTGAAGCACATGACTTTTGCTGGAATGTTCTGGAGAACAATATTGTCCTATGATGTGGTCTCCAACTGTGACCACCAGCCAGGAGGCCAGCTGGGCCCTAACTGGATGCTCCCTGGGAGAATTCCCTGGGGGCATATGCAGGTGATGCATGGAGGGACCAGTGTCCAGGCGGGACCAGGACAGGTGAACAACATCAGGCCCCTTTTCACTCCATATGGCATTTGAAGGAGGTCTGACCCCTTTCAAGTGAGTAAGCCCTTGGACCTCTTCAACAAAGGTGGAGACTTAGGATTTTTCCAAATAGGGTACTTGAGTGTTGTGACTTTAATTTGTGGAAAGAAAAGTAAATTTGTACCGAAGATTTTTGAGCAGACCATGCCTTATATATGTAGATTTCATATGAACAATGGGCTGTTGACATGAAATGCACAAAATATTTATTGGCAAGAGAGAGAATTATAGCCAGGGTGACTTCTCTACAATTCTTCCAGGAGAGGGGAGCCCGGGTAGTCTTACTGTCCAAAAAAGAAAGTGTCCTCTTTTCCCTTTTCCTTGCAGAAGCATGAAAAACTATGGGAGTATTCCTAAAATATGAGGAATAGCAGGAACTGGGATGGTTGGAGCATGAATCAGCAGTTTTCTTCTTTGTAGTAATTATCTCTTTCCCCTTAATGCAATTTTTTCCAATAAACATTTTGTGGAACTCATGATAGAGGTGCTTTAGTGAAGAATGAAACATTACTCAAACATTACTCAAATGTTTACCATGTGAAAGACACCACACAAGGCCCTTTACATACAGGAGGCCTATTAAAATTATCTCCATTTTAGAGATGAGGAAACAGAAGCCAAGTTACAAAATCAGTCACTCGCCCAAGTTCAAGTATGTAGTCAACAGCAGAAGCAATTCAAACTCAGTTAGTTGCGGGGCCTCCCTGGTGGTGCAAGGGGTTAAGCACAGCACTGTGGAGCTATCCACAACCTCTGTAGCATGAGTTCAATCCCCGGTAGGCCAGGGAGCTACCCACATGGAGCAGCAGACCTTTCCTGGCTCTCCCGCTGCTCCCCTCAGCAGTGCATTTCAGTCAGTCTGCCTGTTCTGTTCCCTGTTCTGTCTCTGGTGAATCCTCTCACAACCCCCACACTTCTGGCCTGTACCCCAGTTCTTATATGCATAAATAAATAAATCTTAAAAAACAAAAACAAAAAACAGTTAGTTGGACTCCACAGCCCAGGCTGGGAAACTTAAGAAAACTAGCCCCTTGGAAAGATGGAATAGCTGTGATTAAGCTATAGTTTTTTGGTTTCAGGTTACTCTGGGAAGGGTCTGAAGGGGACACAGGTAAAAAAATTATTACACAGGGGCCTCCCCTGGTGGTGCAGATAGTTGGGCGCAATGCTGTGAAGCTGTCTGCAGCCTCTGCAGCGCGGGTTCCATCCCAGCCGGCCAGGGAGATTCCCACATGGCGCCGCAGACCTCTCCTGTCTCACCCGCTGCTCCCCTCAGTAGTGTATTTCAGTCAGTCTGCCTGTTCTGTTCCCGCTCTGTCCCTGGTGAATCCTCTCACCCTCCTGCGCATCTGGCCTGTACCCCGGTTCTTGTATGCATGAATAAATAAATCTTAAAAAAAAAGGAAATTGTTACATAACATTACACATAGATCAACTTTATAATGAGACAACCCTGCTTGCTTCAACCCCAATGCAACTGGGTAAAGTGAAAGTACCATTTCAAAAGACTTTGTCATAATGATTTCAGTCTTCTCCAAAAATAGTTCACTTCTTCGCTAGTGAGGTTCTCATATGTCAAATGGATGAGCTGTGCGAACAGCTGACTTTATTTCTGCTAAGTTTTGGAAAGGTAGACACTGCCCACTTAGTTGCCCAGGTTATCCTGCCAGCGCACAGCTCACCTACAGGGTGCTCATGCTCCCTGGATCGTGTCCTCCTCTGTGAAATGAGGGGAAGATTTCGGAGCCTCTTCCTGCTCTGCAAGGCTCATACTCACCATGAGTGAGACCACTCAGGGGAAATGAAAGTCACGTTTCACCTCTTCTCTGGTGAAAGCATTCAAAATCCAAGACAGCTTTTACTTTTGCCACTTTAATACTGGTTTCTGGAAAATCCATAGTAACAAGGAGTGCTGATGGCTTTAGGATTCATTATGGAGGCCACACAATCGACTTTTCCTAAAAGACATTTTTCACAGTTCTCTCAAAGGATTGAAGTTTGGAATAAGTCTCAGAACCAAGCACTGTTTTTCAAAGTCCAGGGAATGGAAAGTAATGTGATTGTCTTTAAACCTATCCTGACCACGGCAGGATAATTGAAATGCATTTAACATGCCCAATGTGTCTAGTACTATTTTTGTATACTCCAATTTATTTTTGTTATAACATATAAAAAGCAGTATTTATTATTTCTTTTATCCAAAACAAAATAAAATGGAGAGTGTAAAATACAATGTTATGAAAACATCCAAAACTATTCTTGAATTCACACTAATGCAATATCTATTGAAAACAACTGTTTTTATTCTTAGTATGGCTTTCCAGCTTATATCTACATATCATATCTGTTAATTTCAGAGGAAAGAAAGACATGTGTAGGTTTAATGTGTAGTTTCTTGAAATAACCATTTTACTGATTAAACATTCTCTTAAAGGAAATATTGAAAAATGTCAATGCCACAGGACCCTTGGAACCTGGTCCTTATTTGCTTAACCTGATCCTTGTTTGTTACTTAATTTCTTGTTATTGAGTTAACTTGGAAAAACCTTGGCCAGCTAATACCTTGCTTACCTGCTACCTCACCCTGATCAACCCCACAAAACTAGGTCCCGCAGTCCCTAGGCTAGATTGTGACTTGAGGCACTTGCCATCCTATCTTATTGTGTGACCCACACAAAATTTCTTTGCTTTAATGCTTAAGTGGGTCCCTTTCTAAATTCCTTTCCTCATATTAATAAAACTAGACATGGATTCAAAAAGGTCAGTAACACGAAGAGAGACAATCTAGTTGACATTTAGCGTATATAATTCTAGATGTCTTTCCTATCTGCTTCTACTTCAATGTATTTTTTTTTTAACCTCACTTCCCAAACATTTTGAATCTGTATTAGCCTGGATTCCTCAAAAGCAGAGTATGAGGCAAACACTATGAGGCTAATGTTTTATCGAGGTATGCAATCCAGGCAAGCTAAGGTAAGGGGAGCCTGGGCAATTCAAGCAGGTCATTCTTTGCACCAACCACAGCCTGTTGCTGGGTTTTGCAGACATCTACAGAGAGGCTGTATTAGCCATCATGTCTCAGAACAGTACATGCTTAAGCATCTATAAAATGCATGTAATGGGGGCCTCCCTGGTGGTTAGGGGTTGAATCTCAGTGCTATCACTGCTGTGGCCTGAGTTTGATCCCAGGCCAGGGAGTTGACCCACTTGGCACAGCAAAACTCTCCTGTCTTGCCTACTGATCCCCTCAGCAGTGTATTTCGGTCAGTCTGTCTATTCTGCTGCCCACTGGTGAATTCTCTCACCCCCCACACAACTCTGACCTACACCCCAACTCTTGTATGCATAAATAAATAAAATATATTTTTT